AAACAGACTTTGCTGCTGTCCATTGTCGAAGAGCCCCTAACGTTAGGAGATTCTTGCTGATGTTCAACTAAAATCTGCCTTCTTATTACTGAAAGCCCCCCCCCCTTCCTTGTTCCCTGGAGTGGCAGAACAATTCTGCTCCGTCTTCTGTTTGACAGCCCTCCATCCCCTCAGAGACAGCGGTCCCGTCTTCTCATGGCCCCCTCCTCTGCCTCCTGCGCCCCCAACCTTCCCTCCTATGAATTCCCTTTCAGGGGACACACACACACACACACACACGGTTTCCTCCTGCTTGCCGTCCGCTGGACACCTTCCAGGTCCTCACTTTCCCTCCTTAAGACGGGACCCTCAAAACTGAGCACAGGGCTCTGTGGTGGCCTGATCAGTGCAGGCCAGAGGCGCCTTCTCTTGACCGGGACGATATCTCTGCAGTTAAGGATTGTTGCGCCTGATTTCTTATTTCTTTTTTTTGGGGGGGGGAGGCTAAAAGTGTTGACTCACCTTCAGCATTTCACCTACCTGAGACAGCTGGATCCCCTTCTGTTGTTCAGCTGACTCAAGGCCTCTCCCTCCCATTCTGGATGTGGGACTTCGATCCTTCCTGGCCCCCCTTCCACTCCCTCGTTCTCCCTGCCCGCTGCTCCAGTCGGTCGGGAATGACCCGAATCTTGATTTACGCTCTGTTTCCACCCTCCCCCATCATTGTGTCTTTCACAAATTTGCTATCCATATTTTCTGCCCCCTCATCGGAGTCATTTAACCATCTGTTGGTCACACGGAGCCCAAAATGGAGCCCCGCCAAGCACCCTCCCATATTCCTTGTTGGCTCCATGCGGAGTTCTTGACACGTTCTTGTGGGGTGCCAGCAGCCAACCAGCTCTGTGTCTGTTTAATGGCGGCGTTAAACGGTATCTGGCAATGGATGGAAACCAATCAAGGAGAGGAGCAAGCTAGACCTAAGGAGAAACTGCCTGATAGTGAGAAGGATTTGCCTTCAGACATTGTGGGTGCTCCATCACTGGAGGTCTTCAAGAAGAGACTGTCCAGAATGGCATAGGGTCTCCTGCTTGATCGGGCGCTAGACTAGAAGACCTCCAAGGTCCCTCCCAACTCTGTAATTCTCTTATCTAGACCACATTTTGTTACCTTCTTATTAGGATCTCATGGAAGACCCTGTTGCTCTCCACCACATTCCCTGATCCAACTAAACATGTTAAAAAATCACATCTTGACAAATCACCCTGATGTCTGCCAAGTGGTTTCTCAAAGAACAAACACTCAGTTGAGTCCAAAGAAAAGCAGAGCTCTGAAATTAGTCCAGCTAGTAACCAAAGAGGAAATAAGTCCTCAATAATCATTTCGAAAGTGTGAAAAATGAAATCTACCTTTCTCTGCAGGCAGCCATAATTTATGCCTCGGAAAGGCTGACCCTGCCAAGAAAATGGCTGCGGGGCAGATAGATTTGCTTAAAATAATGCGAAGGAGTGAAAATAAGATGACATTTAAAAATATAACTTCCCTTGGCATTAAAATGCATCCTCCTTGCATTTATCTTCCCTCCTGCTCAAAAGAATCCCTCTCCTTCCACCTAGATAATTGCTCCTTCTGAGGTTCAGGTGGATTGGCAGGAAAGGCTCCCTGGAAACGGTGTGGCTGTGACGAGCGAACCCACCCAAGGAATCCGAGCAGCCGTTGCTTCAAGAGGGCAGGAGGACCCGGGGGGGGGGGCCAAGGGTGCCAGAGAAGACCCATCCCAAGGCATCCGTGGAACAGACCGGTGGCATCTTAATGATGGAGGAAGGTCTTTCCGGCTTACCCAGAAAGCAGGCGGCATCTGGTCTGCATCTCTAAGGCGGTCACCTTCTCCCTCGTCTACTGCAAGGCCTTCCACAACATGGGAATTTCCGGCAGAGTCCCAGGCGGGAAGAAAAGGAGGGCATCTCTTTGTCAGGCAAGGAGGCAGAGCTGGGTCTGGGGGCTGTGTTTGAAGGCCATAGGCAGCCCACAAAGGGCCCCCAAAACGTCCGTGGTTTTGGGCCAAATTGTAATGTATTATTTGGGCAAAAAAAGAAAACAGATGACAACCTGGCCAGAAAATGAGTGCTTAGCTTGACTTAATTCCTGATGTTTCTTGGCCCCCTCCCGGTCTTCTAGCCAGCCTGTGGGAACCTGGCCGCTGGCACTGCCCGCTTGGGGCAAAGAAGCAGAGCCCTGGTAGAGGTAGAGAGGACGGAATCGTCCACCACCCCTTGAATGACCAGCATAGCCACAGGGCATTCAGACAGCAGCGGGAAGAGGGAAGGGCCTGGATGAAGACCCCCGACAGCTGGCCTTCCTAAGCCCTGTGCCCCATCGCTGGAAAGGTTTTGCCTCCCCAGAGCCTCTTTGTTTACTGCTTCTCCCCAAAAGAGTCACTCTGAGCAGGACCTGGTCCAAGATTCAGGGTCCAGTGCAAGAAGTCCAGGCAGTTCAAGTGAATACAGGTTTAGTCTACAAGAATCTGAACTACCAACGCTCAAAGCAAATTGGCGACTGATAAGAACCGACGGAATTCAAGGTGGGCTGGACTTAGATCTCTTGTGGGCGCAAAGAGTCTTGAGACTGATGACACATTTGACCCCTCTAGTCATCCTGGCCATCTCCATCCAGCAGGCTAGAGGTAGGGGGCCAGGGGGCCTTTGGGGAACGGGGGGGGGGGAGGTTCAGAGACGGGCACTGGCAAGCTTGCAACTCCCCAACCCAACTGAATGGGGGCTGCAATGTGGCACCTGTGGCAAATGGATAAAGAAGTCTTGGGAATGTGCTGCAGGCCTAAATGTGTGTGGTGGGACAATCTTGCCACAATCTTGCCCATGTGTTGCTTCCCTTTCTGTCACCTTCTCAGGTAGCTGTGAAGCCCTGAGGCCAGAGGCACACTGGCGATGCATGGAGGCCAAAGTCGTAGGGCTCTCCAGCCTTGGCCACTTTAAGGCTTGTGGACTTCATTTTGGCTGCGGAATTCTGGGAGTTGAAGTCCACAGGTCTTAAAGCGGCCAAGTTTGGAGAGCCCTGTGCTCGAGGACACACCTGCGCTGCTGCCTTGCTGTGGACCAGAAACGACAACGCTTCCTGGTCGCTGGGCTGGGATCAGCTGAGTCCCCAGACCTCCTGGAGGCGAAGGCTTTTGGGGAGGCTCTGGTGGCAGGGCGTCATTTCCAGTGGGGGGGGGGCGGGGGGGGGGAACAGTGCCATCCTGCTGCTTTTGCTTTTGGCCAATCACAGATTTGGAAGAACCCCTCCCTCTGTGGAGGTTGGTGTCCCCCAAGTGAAGACGAGGCCCTTGCAAATCTAGGCATCCTTCTGTTCCTCCCGAGGGTGGGAAGATTTGGGGAGGAGACCTGCAGAGGTCCTTTGGAGCTGCCCTCCGGATGTTCTGGCCGCTACGTCCCTGGGAGTTTTCAGAAGAGAGGCTGGAGGGACACCTGTCTGAAGTGGCACAGGGTCTCCTCCTTCCCAGCTCTGTTCTGGTTGACTGACGGCTCTCGTCACTAAGTTGGCCCCATTTGGCTCGGTTTCCCAACCGGTGTCCAGGAGTCTTTTGTTCTCTGGGAACTGAGTATCTGCACGAGGGTCAAAGTTCAGCCCTAAGAAAGATCTGAAGATCTCTCTGAAGAAGCAGGCGGGTGGCTGAGGGGCGCTTTTGGGGGGGGGGGGTGCTGCTTTGAGAAAATCAGCCGGCTGCTCTTGACCCACTTAGGGCCCTCTTGCTGTAATCCGGAGTGCTCAGAAGCTGAAGCGAGCGTAGAAGGCAGCGGCCAAACTGCCACCCGGCGTGTGTGTTTTGTTGACTAGGTGATGCTGCTCTCCGCTCCGTTGTCTTGCTCTCTGTGACTCACGTCTTAGTCACCTTCCCTTTGGAGCCCTGTAACGTGCCGTGCATGGGGCTGCCCTTGAGGAGGCTGGCCCTGAACGTGGGCAGTGCTTGGCACCACTCGCTGCAGCCACGTAATGCTGCCATTCCACACGCTGCACCGGCTTCTGGGTACTAATCGAGGCGTTGGTCTTCAAAAGAGAACCAGGGCTAGGAAGTCCGTGGAGCTGCCTTTCTCCCACCAGGTGTACCGTGGAGGGTGTACTCTGGGACCCCTCTGATAACCATGGTCCCCTGTGGGACCCAGGAGCCCTGCCTGCCCTGCAGAACAGCCCCCCCACCCCACCGCACCCCCAGAGGCACGGATGCCTGACCCTGTGAACCTTCCATCGGCCCCAGAAGCCCTCCAGTCTCTCCTGGTTTTGCCTAGGAGTTAGGCCGGCCCAGTTGTTGCTGGTGTGGTTTACCTTGGACATTGTGGGTTACCCGTTTGTTGGGTTTCTAGTCTTAAGATGCCACCTGGTCACTGGGAGTTGTGAGATAAGTGGCCGTGTGAATTACTGGCATAAATAAAAGATTTCCCTAGATGAAGGGATTCCACCTCTTACGGCCGTTGGAGTGCAGCCCGTTAGCACACGACTGTGTCATGGTATTAATAGCCCAGCACGCTGCATGCGTTCCTGTTTCTGCCACTTTCCTTTCGTTGTTGCGTTGTGACCCCAAACAATGTCAGCTTCTTGAGATATTTTGGCGAGAGAGGTGGGGAGGCCCACTGGACCTGTCGATCAGCCCATCAGTCAAGGAACTTGTTCTTGGGAAGCCATCACCCCTTTTGCGTTGCCCGTCGTGGGAGACGTGTTCCCTTCGGAGCCCGACAGCCGAAATGCCCTTCGATTTTATGCTCTTTGATGCCTGAACATTTTGAGCGTGTCCAGTTGGAACTTACAACACGCACACGCACACTTCTATCCACATCCGTATCTACCGGCATCCGTATACTTCTGTGTGTTGTGCAGGATTTGGTGAGGGCTTTGCAGGAGACCCAGATTAGAACTCGCCTGGTTCTGTGCCAGCCAGAGTTGAGAAGGCAGAAAGGATTTGGGTGCTGCCCTCACTTGGGCCCATCCCCACACCCACCCTCATCCTTCAGGAGCTCCACTTCATATCGGGGGAGGGGGAGGAGAGGGCCCGGAAGGGGGGCGAATGCATTTGGCTGACCTTCATGGGTCTCACTCAGCAAGTAAGGAGGATAAAGGGACTTTGTGGGTTCCTTACTCTCAGTCAGTTAGCAGGTGCCCTGAAAGGATAAAGGGGAGCCCTGCTACCTGGGGGAACTGGGGGCTCCCCTGATGACCAGGGCATGCAGGTAGGGCCTCCTAGGGCCCCCATCCTTGGAGGGAAAAGGGCAGCACCCAAGGAACCGTTAGTGCTCCCAGTGGGGTATCCGGGAGGGGGAAACATGGACAAAGCAGCTGCTTGGAGTTGGAACTTGGACCCCGGCCTTGGTGGTGGAAAAGAGTAGGTTCCTTTAGAGGAGGGGGGCCAAGGAGGTTGAGGCGTGGAGGGTCTGCAGGAATTCAGCCAAAGCAAACAGCCCACCTCTGCTTCAGGATGCTTCCAAAACACGACTTATTTGTCTAACGGATGCAGGTGCGGTTTGGTTGATTCTATGACCAGCACGAGTGTGTGTGTGTCTGTGTGTGTGTGTGTTCTCTCCCTTGACCAGCATCCCCCATTTCTGTGCCTTTTCTCAACAGCCGCATTCTGGGCAATGGGAAGCTCTGCCCACCAGTGCCGCCTGCCCAGGCAGGGAGGGGCTCGGCCCTCGGCTGCTCAGTAGCCTCCTGGAAGAGAGCGCGAGAACCGGGCTGGCCTCGGATTATGCCCGTTAGCGGAAGAGAGGATCGCCTCTGTGTCAGAAAACTCGGCTGCTTGGAGACTCTTCCTGGCTGGGCAGCTGCCCCAGAAGCTGCCTTGCCAGCTCTTTGGGGAGATGAAGAAGCTCCCCCTGGGCCAGAAGCAGCCCCCCCTGCTCCCCTTAATGGAGATGGAAGGAGCCTCCTTTGCTTGCCAGCTCCAGCGGAAGGCCCCCAGCGTGGGCTTCTCTGCCAGCCCGGAGAAGAAGGGCGGCTGCAGGGAGGCAGGTCAAGATGAGGCCGAGGAGGGCCATCCATCCCAGGGTGGGTGTGCCAAGGCCTCCCCCAGGAGGGAGCCCCAGGGGCCGGTCTCAGAGGGCCCCGGGGAGCCTGGCAAGAACCCCGCAGTGCCGGTAGCTGCCAAGGAGGAGGAGCCTCTTCTCCTGAGCAAGCCCACCTACCCTGCCAGGAAGAGGGACCGCTCTGCCGACGTCATTGATTACATTGTGAAAGAGCTGCAAGGGATAAGCCGCATTCAGACCGAGATCGCGGAACTTCAGCAGCACCTGTCCTTGATCAAGGGGTCGGTGGATGAAGTGTCCAGCTGCGTGGACTCCGTCTTGAGCGAGATCGAGGGCCTGCAGAGCAGCGGCGGGACCACCACCAAAAACCCCGCCATGCTGAGAGGCCCAGGGGCCTTGGTTGGGGCCTCCACCAAGGAGCCAGTGCTGTACTTTTATGGCCTCCCTGAGCAGGAGGGGGAGAACACCAAGGAAATCGTCTGCCGCTTCCTGTCCGAGTATCATTGCTTCAACGGCCTCCAGCGCAGCAAGAACATCAAGGAGGCTTACAGGTCGGGGGTGTCCACAGGGGTCCCATTCGCACCTCGCCCCGCTGTGGTGAAACTCGCCACGGCCGAGCACCGAGACTTCATCCTCCAGAAGTCCATCCTCTTGAAGGACGCAGGAATCACCATTGCTGAGCAGAACTGCCCAGTGAGTCTCGGAGGGCAGCTGGGCGTGTTGCCATCCCCTGGCCTGAGACCCCAGCCCTGGGACTTCCCCAACCCCCAGGGAGAAGCGGGGAGGAGGGGTGGGGGTGGCCAGCTCCGGAAGGATTCCTGCCAGGCTCAGCGCGAGAAGCCCAGCCGCGAGAACCTCCCGCTCCGCCTGGGCGAGAGGGCCGGCTTGCCACAAAAGTCCCCTTTAGCCAAGAAGAGCAGTTTAATTTCTGAACTTGAGGAGAAGGTGGGCAGGGTCGTACAGATCATCAGCAGCAACGAGCAGACTTTGCACAAAAACCACTCTTCCGCCTGCATCTCCGAAGCCCCCCAAAAGCTGCTGGAGGTCTCGAAAAACCACATGGGGAAGTCCTGGCCTTTGGGGGAACTCTTAAACCTCAGGGGCTTGGAGGCTGCTCCGGAGAAAGGAAGGGGCCGCGGCTCAGAGGCTGGGAGTGTAGCGGCCAAGGACCCCCCCTCCCCCTCGCCCCTCACAGGTGTGGCCAAAGCAGGAGGGCCGATTCCAGGGGCGAGGGAGACCGACTGTGGGGCTGCTACTCCTGAGGGTCTCAGTGCTGAGCAGGACAACCTGGAGGAGGAGGAGGCAGCCCCCGTGGACATGATCCTGCCGGGCTGTGAGGCCGCCGTGCCCAAGTTAACGGGCAGCAGCGAAATGCTCAAGGACCTGATTGAGATCAACCTGAATGATCAGGATCCCACAGATCACGTCTTCCGGGATGTCTTGGAGAACTCCCAGTTCTTCCTCCAGCATTCGCAGGACAGCGTTGACCTGGTGGACATGAGCTTCTACACCAACAAGCTGGGGAAGGCGCTCAGCCACTTCCGGTCCGCCCTGCAGGTGGTCTTCCACAAGTTGGAGACGGCCGACTCGGAGGTCGTCCTTGGAGGGGAGCCCGGCCTCCCCGTGGCAAGTGAGCCGGAGTCAGAGGCGCACACCAGCCTGGAGACGGTTGCCGAGAGCCCGCCCAGCCTGTCTTTGGAGAGCCACGTCAACACGGCCAGGAGCAGCGCCAGTGGAGGCTCCCCACAGGGGCCCCTCCCGAGCCCCGAGCCCCCTGCCCTCCCTGCGGGGGCCCCCGGGGGCTGTGTGGAGCAGCCCTTCTCTGCTGAGCCTCCCCAGCCGGCGGAGCCTGCAGGGCAGAGGCCCCTCAGCCTGGAGAAGGTGTGTGCAGAGACCATTTACTTGAACAAATGCATCAACAACTTCAAAAATGTCCTGCGGGAGAAAAGGCAGATGCGCCGGAGGGGCTTGAAGGAGCTGGCCCAGGAGCCCAGCTGGACTTCAGCCGAGGAGACGCCTGCAGGTACAGGGCCCCCTTTGAGGCCTCCCCTCCCCCAAAGCTTTCCCGCTCCCTAGTGGCAGCCTGGCAGGTTGGTAGGAGTTGCCCACAACCACCAAGGCAACTTTGAAGGCAAATGCCCAAACCCAGAGCGGTCTCTCCGAGGGAGCTGCGGGCCCCTTTCTCTGGCTCTGGGCCAGCCCGTGGCGGGTGAGGAAGGAGCCTCTGCAGCCCCATCCCAGGGCCCGGCCTGAGAGGCGGGGGGAGCTGCCTGCTGTGGGCTGGTTGGGGAAACCCCTTTGGGGTGCCTGGAAAGCCTGAAGAGCCGCCAGGGACGGGGAGGAGGCTGGGACCTGGAGCCCGACTGGCCTGGTCTTCCTGGGTGGATGCCTTGCTTGGCAGTCTTGGGAGGAAGTGGGTGTTCCAAGTGCCCCCCCCCCGTTGCTTATTCCCCTGATGAACAGGGGAGTCTGGCCGCCAGGATGGCACAAAAGGGGCCTGGAAAGGAGCCGGTTGGGTTACCACTTTTGGGGGGAAAGGCTGTGCTGGACCCATTGCAGGCCTCAGAGACTGGGGTGGAGTGTGTGTGTGTGCATGTGTGTGCGTGCGTGTGCATGCGTGTGTGCGCGCTGCCCTTGAAAGGCAGGGAGAGAGGCCAGGAAGAGGCCCTGGACTCTCTGCCCAGCAGGGAAGGGTTGCAGGGCCTTCCCAGGGACCTTAAAGTACCTGCCAGAAGGAGAGGTTTGTGCCAAGGCGTTTCTTCGAGCGACCGGGGGGGGGGGGGGGTACGCTGGCCGGGGGAGGGGGGCAGCCTCAGCAGCTATTGGAAGCCCCTGGGTCTCCCACCCTCATTGCCTTGTGGCTGGGGGACAAGCACAGGGTCGCCCACCCTCCCATCCTTCCACCTTGAAAGAGGGAAATCTAGGAGTCTGGGCGTCCCCCCCCCCTTGACGTGGGCAGAGGTGGTCGCTGTGGAAACCCCGCAGGAGCCCAAGAGCTGCCGGACCTCTGGCTCAGGAGGGCCGCGCTGGGTCTGTGCCTGACCCGGGAGGGCTTCCGGTGGCCTCCCTCGCTTCCCCAAAGGCC